AGGAACTGTTTGGCAGAAGCTACGGTTGTTGCTGAACCTACTGCCAAGAACTGAGGCATTTTGGTGTCAGTTCTTCTTTCAGGCACTCATGAAGGAAGCGGAGTTGTTCATACGTTGCTGCTTCTCGGGTGGAGAATACCTCGCGGCTGCGAGATGTGCGAAGCGCATCGGAGAGCATCCTTCTGGTTTATGTGTCTTTTCCCTTGACGACCGTTGACAGTTGGTTGGGCTTTGGCCACTATAATTACCCTCCTTTTGGTTGCTGCTTCTTATCTCTCAAGATGAACTCCTGTAAGAGTTCGAAGGCTCAGGACAATAAACAAATTGATCCGGTGCTCGACAAGTCTTCTTCCTTATCCATACCTGGAACGCGAACCTTTTCATTCATTCGGGAAAAATGAGGTTAATTAGGGTGTGTAGTCATTTGCGTTACGTCCAGGCGGCCGCCAATGACAGTAGACTGGCGTTCATCGTTTATATGGGCCCCCATTTTCGTTGATAAGATCCTGATGACCGTACACGTCACTGACATTTAATTCTCGTATAATCAATTTTCGCCCGCCCTCACGACCTCTTACAGTTGATTTTTGTACGCCACTTTAATTATCCTCTTCTTGTTATTGTTTATTACCTTTGATAGTGGCCTGTTGTATGTGTACGCTTAGGACAATAAGGAAATTGTGTCGGTGGCCGAAAATCCTTCTTAGCTGTCCCTACAAATACCTGCAATGTGAATGATTTCATAAGTGTGACGTTTGCGTTGCCCTCGTTAGGCTTACTGACAGGTGACTTGGGAAGAACAGAACTCAGATGGCATGATGTGACTGATTTTTATTTTATCAAAGTGAAGGGCGCTACTCCTGATTAAGTTCCATGCTTGAGACATCTGGATGCCAAATAGGCTTTGATAAACGCAAAAAAGGCATGTTTAACCCAGCTTTTTTTAATTTTATAGGTCGCTTTTCTACTCAGGACACTTACTAACTTTTATGATTGTGTTGCCTTTCTATGTGGTGGGGGTTTGGGCTAAGGATAAATTATTTCAAAATGTCTTCTACGTGTACGAGAAAAACAAACAGTTTGATAAACAAAAGCATTTGAATAGTCTAGGCAAAAGTACGCAGCAGAAATCCTTAACAGTAGTTGAGAGCTTTTACTTGCTGAATTTCACATTTTTTGTCTGAATTTGTCTCCGTAAAAGCAATCATTGGGGCCTTTAGCTTCTCATTTAATATAAGTATAATTTCATGCCACAAAAGGACAACTTCACAAATAAGTTGGTATAAAGTGTTATTAGTCGGTTTCCACGGTTCTGTGGTCGGAGTTGAGTGGCTAACGCGACTAGCATGCATATCACGCGATATAACCTTGCCCTATGACCAAATCCGTTTATGTTTTAATATGAATGCTGGATTACCGGATTGACCGCATATAAAACCAGGAATTAAGAGCTTGCAAGCTGATGATAATTAATCAC